TCTGCCCACCATACTTCTGCTCGTGTCCGTGTTCCCTGCCATGTCACCTCTTGTCTACGCATCTTCTCGTTTGCACCATCCCTGCCCTCTCATTATAGCATGTGCTATGGGTTCCCATAACACTGCACACTAGGCATGATGTATGTCAGCCCAGCAGGCCAATGGCCTGCCAGTGATAGGCCCGATTCCACAGCAGCCTGGCTGGCCTCCGCTTGTTGAAACGTGTTGAGTCGAGGCCGGCTAGTGACGGCGCTAGTGTGTCCAGTCACGTTGGCCTCGGCGTGGCTCGGCCTACTTTCATTACTTGTGCACATGCTTTGCCTGCCCGATTCGCACAGATGTGATCATGCATTTGCCTTCAATGCTCTGAGACACGGCTTGTCACAAAACAGGCTTGGACCGTGAACTGGAGCTGTGTCAGGTCCGAACTGTTCGTCCCTCAGGACCGGCCGTCCCGGGCCGGGCCGGTTATGGGCCGTCCGTCCCTATGCCACATGCCTACTACACGCTGCTCCTTACGCATCTCAATCACTACTCCTGAACACTTTATCCACCTATCACACATCCGAACCCCCTCGTGCCTCCCATGCCAACTGTCCCTCGCATCCCTCTGCACCCATCTCCATGCCCCCCCCAGGCGGCGTGTTGTGGTTTGAGATGTTCTACGCGCCTCTAGACGAGATGCCGGTATACGTGGCACTGATCAGTGCGCTGGGCTACAAGCGCCTCTACTACCACGTGCTGCCCAAGCCCGACGTGGGGGAGCAACTCGGAGCACACATGTACCTCAACTGCCTGCTTGAGAAGCCCGTGCGCCTCGACCCCCCCAAGAGAACAGGCTGGCTGTTCTAAAGGGTCAGTTGTTTTTTGGTGTGGTGGTGTCTCGTCTAGGTTGAAGCGCTCATTAGGTATTGGCAGGACAGCTCCGAGCACACATGTACCTCAACTGCCTGCTTGAGAAGCTCGTGCGCCTCGACCCCCCCAAGAGGACGGGCTGGCTGTTCTAGAGCCTCAGCTGTTCCAAATTCTCAGCTGGTTTTTAGTGAGGTGACTTGTCTAGGCTGATGCGCTCATTGGTGGGAGGGCAGCTTGCTGTGCGAGTGGTACGTAGCTGCCTGTTCCGGAAGAAGCCTGTTTGCCTCTGGAGATTTCGAGTATGTTTTCCCGTTGGCTGCGTTCTAAAATCGCTGCAACACAATAGTTTGCAGGTTTACTATGTACAACGGTTGTGCGACAACCTCTCTTGGAGTCCAATTTTGAGCTACTTTGAAATGTTCAACACCCTACGGGAGAACGTAACATAAAGCAGTCCAGATTGAAAATACACTCAGGAACCAATAACGGGGGTTTCACACAAACGAGGCAAGGTGGCGCGCACCCTGAAATGGCAATGGAATGGGTACATCATGAAGGTGGCTGGTTGGGTGGGATGGGAACTTGGCAGCATACCGGATCACCTGTGTACCGACAATTGTGTCGGCTCTTGCAAATTGTTCTTGGCCTGTGTCGTGTTTCCTGACACAAGGCTATCGACAGCTCAGATCGATCCACGTCATCATCAGTCGAATCCAAACCCTTAAAGCCGCGGTGCAGATATCCGGGCTCCAGTTCAAACTATTATAGTTTGAAAGCCGCGTAACCCAGTATACACAGGAAAGCGAGCAGGGAGAGGTTTCTGCCAGCGGGGGAAGGGCGTGCGGAAAAGTCCTTCGCAGTATGATGTGTGTGGGGGGGAAACGGGGGAGGGCTCGGGGAAAAGCTCCGCTCAACGAGTTGACGGGGAGCGCATGCAGCAAACTTGAAAATTCAAACTTGAACTCAAAACAACTCAAACTCGGCAAACTCTCACGCTTGAACTAGGTTCTTACTAACTTGAAGTGCGTTTTCCGAGCTACGCAGAGCCATTTCCGCTAAGATTTCTCGCGTTTCATGGTCTATTGATGTGCTCACGAATATCTGCGCAATTTCCTACCTCGCAAACACCTTTTTGTCGTATTCGAAGCGCATTGCGCTCGTTTTCCTCCGTTGCCGTCCTTATTCCTCTCCCGCCCCTCCATTCCTCACGTATCTGCGGTAGCAAAGGCGCAACGGTAGCGACAGGCAGGAATGGGTGCGACGGTGGCGAGCAGCGGGGCGACGATAGCGAGCAGTGCGGCGACGATAGCGAGCAGCGGGGCGACGATATGAGCAGCGGGGTGACGATAGCGAGCAGCAGGGCGACGATAGCGAGCACCAGGGCGACGATAGCGAGCTCCAGGGCGACGATAGCGAGCATCAAGGCGACGATAGCGACAACCAGGGCGACGATAGCGAGCTCCAGGGCGACGATAGCAAGCACCAGGGCGACGATAGCGAGCAGCGGGGCGAAGCATCTGTGCGACGGTGGCGAAGCATCTCGCGTCCCCCTCCATATTTATTCCTCTCCAATGCCTCCCCCTTTCCGATCCCTTGCCCGGTCCTCAGCATCAACTTCTCTTGGGCCGTGCCCTCCCTGTTTTCCTTTCCCTTTCCCCCTGTCCTCCTCTCCCTTTCCCCCTGTCCTCCTCTCCCTTTCCCCCTGTCCTCCTCTCCCTTTCCCCCTGTCCTCCTCTCCCTTTCCCCCTGTCCTCCTCTCCCTTTCCCCCTGTCCTCCTCTCCTTTCCCCCTGTCCTCCTCTCCCTTTCCCCCTGTCCTTCTCTCCCTTTCCCCCTGTCCTCCTCTCCCTTTCCCCCTGTCCTTCTCTCCCTTTCCCCCTGTCCTCCTCTCCATTTCCCCCTGTCCTCCTCTCCCTTTCCCCCTGTCCTCTCCCTTTCCCCCTGTCCTCCTCTCCATTTCCCTCTGTCCTCCTCTCCCTTTCCCCCTGTCCTCCTCTCCCTTTCCCCCTGTCCTCCTCTCCCTTTCCCCCTGTCCTCCTCTCCCTTTCCCCCTGTCCTCCTCTCCCTTTCCCCCTGTCCTCCTCTCCATTTCCCCCTGTCCTCCTCTCCATTTCCCCCTGTCATCCTCTCCCTTTCCCCCTGTCCTCCTCTCCCTTTCCCCCAGTCCTCCTCTCTATTTCCCCCTGTCCTTCTCTCCCTTTCCCCCTGTCCTTCTCTCCCTTTCCCCCTGTCCTTCCCTCCCACCTTTCCTCCCCCTCTCTCACATCCCTTCCCTTTCCTACTGTCCTCTCCCACCATTCACGCTTCTCTCAGCCATCCCTTTCCCCCCTCCCCTGCCCCTCGCCTTCCCCCACTACCGTCCCTTCCCTTTCCACTACGTTCTCTCGTTCAATTCAGCCAACAGTACCAGCTTTGCTTGGCCACTGAAGCCTGTCTATCATATCTCAGTTTCCATGCTCTTTTCAATTTCCCTACCTAACATTCTTCAATAATGCGCAACGTTTCCTTCCCCTTTTCCCCTCCCCCCTCCTCCCTGTAAATGGACAGCTGCACCAATAGTGGATCGGAGTGTAAAAATCGGCTCTCCTTGGATTATGCCATGTTGTTTGCTTGCGATCCTTTGCATGATAAGGATTTCAATATGACATTCCAAGTCTTGCAGGTCTGTACAGTTGATGTTCTTTCTCCCCATTAGAAATAATACTCTTGCAAATGGATGGATAAATAAACCAAAATAAACCTTGTAAGTGAAATATGTATTTTGCAAAGTTTTTATGAAACATAAGGTTTATCGTTTTGCAATGTGGAGGTGTTATTGGCAGAACAATCAGCGAAAGGGAGTATGGGGGTGTTGATGTGGTCCCATTTCCCGTTTCGTGTGTGTTCCCCCCTTCCCTTCCCCCCACCCCTTCCCCCCCACTTTTCCTTTCGAGGTTCGCGACATTCGCCTTGGATGTTTTCATCGCAACACAACTTACACACTCGCTAGCCAATTGACTACCAGTACGGAACAAGACAAAACCCGGCTTGTCACTGTTCCTAAGATAGTTGCACCGCGGCTTTAACAGCTTCATGTTGCCTGCCTGACACAGGCTAAGAACGCGCCCTTATTCGAACAAACATTTGCAGGAGCTGCTTCGCTTTTCACCCGTTTTCTTCGGCGTGTTGCTTTCCACACAAACCGTGGTAGATCCTTCAGAACCAAATTAAACCGCATGCTAACAGAAAGCTTTCAAGGTGGTGGTGGGTACGTTCGTCCACAGAGCTTCAATCTCTGCTGAGCTGTGTTCTGCCCTGCTCTCCACCATCCACCCCTCGTTGTCACACGAGGGAAAGGGTAGTACACCCTATTTCGCGCTAGTAGAGCATGTGGTTGCAAAACATACATGGGTTGTAGAGCGTCACCACGTTCAGAAGGGTATTGTCACCTACTGTACAAGCACAATGCGAAGAATATGGTGTAGGTAAGGTGATGCACGTTACAAAAAGCTTTGTCAGCGTTGTTGTTTGGTTGGGTGAGGTATCTACTATAACGGAAATTTTACGCCCAGTCTGTCACGTGGTTCGGCTTTTCCCCCCAGGTTGCTAGGAACGTTTTATGGCACCTGACCGCAAGAGACAAGCTCTGTAGCAACGAGTCGCGCAAGGTGAAAATGTTGAGAAAGAGGGTGTAGAACGGAAACGGAAATAGGGAAGCTACGGGTGAATCTTCCACATACAGCTGGCCCGTCCCACCACACACACACACCTTACCTCGACAGCGCATCAGAATAACCAGAGAGTATTTTTTTTCGCCACCGACCCGATGCTGCCCGTTCCGAAAAGCGTCGCTCGAATTTCCGCGATGCATGGCACGCACGTGACACATGCGCCTCGACTCATCCAACTCGTGACCGCCACTGATGAACGGACTTCTTCTAACACGGCCAAGCACAAGTCATCCTCTTATTGTCTCCTCCTAGACTCCGTGCAAAAGACTCTGCGATTGCGAGTGCGATTGCGAGTGCGATTGCGAGTACCTCGTCTCTCCAACCGCGAACCTGCGCTCCGCAACACTCTGCGCGCGCATTTCCTCCGCCACTCTCGCGCCGCCGTGTTGCCGTTGCCGACGACCCTGACGTCTTCCATCTCTCGCCGATAGTAGCCATGCCGCCCCCGACTCCCCCCCGCCGCACTCCGCGCACCGCCGCCCGCCGCACGTCCGTCGCGGGTGCCTGCGCCCGCCCCAAGCCGCCCGCTACCGCCGCCACGCGCACGCGCGCGCTCCTCCTCGCGCTCGTCGCGGCGACAGCCATCGCGCGCCTCGCAACACCAGCGGCGGCGGCGGCGGCGTCGTCGTGGGGGCCGGCGTGCGTGAACGGGTTCCCGAAGCGCGCTCTGTGCCGCTTCGTGGATGACTTGGCGGCGTCCCCGCTGGTGGAGGTGGACGGCGCGACGGGCAGCGCCGTCACCATCGGGGTGTTCCAGAAACGCATCGTAAGTGTAACTCCTGCGGGGGGCGGGCCGAGTACACGACGGGTTAAAGAGCAACCGCCGCGCCTCTGAATAGGAACCCCCGTTTTGCCCTGTGGACCTGGGCATGAGGCGCTATCATCATATCGATATGATATCGAGCACCTGCCTTTGCCTCCCGCACCCCCGTCGCAGCGCTGCGCTCGTCCCTGCACTGCCCTTCGCCCTTCGCAATATCCCTTTCCCTTTCTTACATTGCGTGTGGCGTACCCAGGCTGGTTACGACACGTCCCCCCTGGATCCGCTCCCCTCTCCATCCATCCCACTCGAGTCTCCCTTCTTACCCCCCGGTTTCCCCCTTTCTGTTCCGGCGAGTTTCGGCGTGTAGAAGTTTCACCGCGACCTGCCCGCGTCGAAGCAGTATGTGTTTGGTGTGGACCAGCAGAGCGCCAGCTACCCCGGCCCTCTCATTGTGGCACTCCGACACACGCCCACCACGGTAGGTCTGCTGGGTGGGGTCATATGCTTGAAGTTCGATTCACACCCCACAACCTCCACTCTCGGTGCCATATCGCACACATTGCACAGCGCAATCCTGTTGGGTGTTTGTAAGAGAGAGACCGCAGCTTTTATCTCTAATCCCCTGTGGCCCTCCCCATCCGTTCCCTCCACTCCACCCCCCCCCCCCCCCACCCCCGCTTCCGACACATGCCGGCACCACACATGACGGTGGCAGGTGAGGTGGGAGAACCATCTGAGCGACCAGCAGCACATGCTGGGGGTGGACTACTCGCTCTCACACGTCGCCCGCCCCTCCCAAGGCGGCATCCCCATCGGTGTGCACCGCCGCCCCCATCTCCTGCCCTCTCCCCCCTCGCCCCCCTCTCCCCCCTCTCCCCCTTCTCCCCCCTCTCCTCCCTCTCCTCCCTCTCCCACCTCTCCCCCTCTCCCCCCTCTCCTCCCTCTCCTCCCTCTCCTCCCTCTCTCCGCTCTCTCCCCCCCTCCCCCATATCCACCACAACCCCCTACCTCCTCTCTCTTCCTGCCTGGCATTCTCCTTGCGTGGAACCTCCCTCCCATGCGTGCAACGGTACCCATGCATGCTCCGGCACACGCTGTGCGCTGTGATCCTTTCGATGTCGTATCTATCCACCCGCTCTCCACATATCTGCCGCATGTCTCACGGCCGCATGTCTCACGGCCGCATGTCTCACGGCCGCAGCACACGCCTCATCTTCCCCCGCTCTTGTATGTACCCAACTCCCTAGCATTCCGTCGTCTCATCTGATTGTGTAGTGTGCATTTTGATTGGTCAAGATGTACCACTAATCCTTTGTCCTTTTCCTTCTTTCCATCTTCTACCTTATCTAACCCATCTCCCCCATCTCCCCCATCTCCCCCATCTCCCCCATCTCCCCCATCTCCCCCATCTCCCCCATCTCCCCCATCTCCCCCATCTCCCCCATCTCCCCCATCTCCCCCATCTCCCCATCTCCCCCATCTCCCCCATCTCCCCCATCTCCCCCATCTCCCCCATCTCCCCCATCTCCCCCATCTCCCCCATCTCCCCCATCTCCCCCATCTCCCCCATCTCCCCCATCTCCCCCATCTCCCCCATCTCCCCCATCTCCCCCATCTCCCCCATCTCCCCCATCTCCCCCATCTCCCCCATCTCCCCCATCTCCCCATCTCCCCCATCTCCCCCATCTCCCCCATCTCCCCCATCTCCCCCATCTCCCCCATCTCCCCCATCTCCCCCATCTCCCCCATCTCCCCCATCTCCCCCATCTCCCCCATCTCCCCCATCTCCCCCATCTCCCCCATCTCCCCCATCTCCCCCATCTCCCCCATCTCCCCCATCTCCCCCATCTCCCCCATCTCCCCCATCTCCCCCATCTCCCCCATCTCCCCCATCTCCCCCATCTCCCCCATCTCCCCCATCTCCCCCATCTCCCCCATCTCCCCCATCTCCCCCATCTCCCCCATCTCCCCCATCTCCCCCATCTCCCCCATCTCCCCCATCTCCCCCATCTCCCCCATCTCCCCCATCTCCCCCATCTCCCCCATCTCCCCCATCTCCCCCATCTCCCCCATCTCCCCCATCTCCCCCATCTCCCCCATCTCCCCCATCTCCCCCATCTCCCCATCTCCCCCATCTCCATCTCCCCATCTCCCCCATCTCCCCCATCTCCCCCATCTCCCCCATCTCCCCCATCTCCCCATCTCCCCCATCTCCCCCATCTCCCCCATCTCCCCCATCTCCCCCATCTCCCCCATCTCCCCCATCTCCCCCATCTCCCCATCTCCCCCATCTCCCCCATCTCCCCCATCTCCCCCATCTCCCCCATCTCCCCCATCTCCTCCCCATCTCCCCCATCTCCCCCATCTCCCCCATCTCCCCCATCTCCCCCATCTCCCCCATCTCCCCCATCTCCCCCATCTCCCCCATCTCCCCCATCTCCCCATCTCCCCCATCTCCCCCATCTCCCCATCTCCCCCATCTCCCCCATCTCCCCATCTCTCCCATCTCCCCCATCTCCCCATCTCCCCCATCTCCCCATCTCCCCCATCTCCCCCATCTCCCCCATCTCCCCCATCTCCCCCATCTCCCCCATCTCCCCCATCTCCCCCATCTCCCCCATCTCCCCCATCTCCCCCATCTCCCCCATCTCCCCCATCTCCCCATCTCCCCCATCTCCCCCATCTCCCCCATCTCCCCCATCTCCCCCATCTCCCCGTCTCCCCCGTCTCCCCCGTCTCCCCCGTCTCCCCCGTCTCCCCCGTCTCCCCCGTCTCCCCCGTCTCCCCCGTCTCCCCGTCTCCCCCGTCTCCCCCGTCTCCCCCGTCTCCCCCGTCTCCCCCGTCGCCCCCGTCTCCCCCGTCTCCCCCGTCTCCCCCGTCTCCCCCCCGTCTCCCCCGTCTCCCCCGTCTCCCCCGTCTCCCCCGTCTCCCCCGTCTCCCCCGTCTCCCCCGTCTCCTCTCCCCCGTCTCCCCGTCTCCCCCGTCTCCCCCGTCTCCCCCGTCTCCCCCGTCTCCCCCGTCTCCCCCGTCTCCCCGTCTCCCCCGTCTCCCCCGTCTCCCCCGTCTCCCCGTCTCCCCCGTCTCCCCGTCTCCCGTCTCCCCGTCTCCCCCGTCTCCCCCGTCTCCCCCGTCTCCCCGTCTCCCCGTCTCCCCCCGTCTCCCCGTCTCCCCGTCTCCCCCGTCTCCCCCCTCCCCGTCTCCCCCGTCTCCCCGTCTCCCCGTCTCCCCCGTCTCCCCCGTCTCCCCCGTCTCCCCCGTCTCCCCCGTCTCCCCCGTCTCCCCCGTCTCCCCCGTCTCCCCCGTCTCCCCCGTCTCCCCCGTCTCCCCCGTCTCCCCCGTCTCCCCCGTCTCCCCCGTCTCCCCCGTCTCCCCCGTCTCCCCCGTCTCCCCCGTCTCCCCCGTCTCCCCTCTCCCCCGTCTCCCCCGTCTCCCCGTCTCCCCCGTCTCCCCCGTCTCCCCCGTCTCCCCCGTCTCCCCCGTCTCCCCCGTCTCCCCCGTCTCCCCCGTCTCCCCCGTCTCCCCCGTCTCCCCCGTCTCCCCCGTCTCCCCCGTCTCCCCCGTCTCCCCCGTCTCCCCCGTCTCCCCCGTCTCCCCCGTCTCCCCCGTCTCCCCGTCTCCCCCGTCTCCCCCGTCTCCCCCGTCTCCCCCGTCTCCCCCGTCTCCCCCGTCTCCCCCGTCTCCCCCGTCTCCCCCGTCTCCCCCGTCTCCCCCGTCTCCCCCGTCTCCCCCGTCTCCCCCGTCTCCCCCGTCTCCCCCGTCTCCCCCGTCTCCCCCGTCTCCCCCGTCTCCCCCGTCTCCCCCGTCTCCCCCGTCTCCCCCGTCTCCCCCGTCTCCCCCGTCTCCCCCGTCTCCCCCGTCTCCCCGTCTCCCCGTCTCCCCCGTCTCCCCCGTCTCCCCGTCTCCCCCGTCTCCCCCGTCTCCCCCGTCTCCCCCGTCTCCCCCGTCTCCCCCGTCTCCCCCGTCTCCCCCGTCTCCCCCGTCTCCCCCGTCTCCCCCGTCTCCCCCGTCTCCCCCGTCTCCCCCGTCTCCCCCGTCTCCCCCCGTCTCCCCCGTCTCCCCCGTCTCCCCGTCTCCCCCGTCTCCCCCGTCTCCCCCGTCTCCCCCGTCTCCCCCGTCTCCCCCGTCTCCCCCGTCTCCCCCGTCTCCCCCGTCTCCCCCCGTCTCCCCCGTCTCCCCCGTCTCCCCCGTCTCCCCCGTCTCCCCCGTCTCCCCCGTCTCCCCCGTCTCCCCCGTCTCCCCCGTCTCCCCCGTCTCCCCCGTCTCCCCCGTCTCCCCCGTCTCCCCCGTCTCCCCCGTCTCCCCCGTCTCCCCCGTCTCCCCCGTCTCCCCCGTCTCCCCCGTCTCCCCCGTCTCCCCCGTCTCCCCCGTCTCCCCCGTCTCCCCCGTCTCCCCCGTCTCCCCCGTCTCCCCCGTCTCCCCCGTCTCCCCCGTCTCCCCCGTCTCCCCCGTCTCCCCCGTCTCCCCCGTCTCCCCCGTCTCCCCCGTCTCCCCCGTCTCCCCCGTCTCCCCCGTCTCCCCCGTCTCCCCCGTCTCCCCCGTCTCCCCCGTCTCCCCCGTCTCCCCCGTCTCCCCCGTCTCCCCCGTCTCCCCCGTCTCCCCCGTCTCCCCCGTCTCCCCCGTCTCCCCGTCTCCCCCGTCTCCCCCGTCTCCCCCGTCTCCCCCGTCTCCCCCGTCTCCCCCGTCTCCCCCGTCTCCCCCGTCTCCCCCGTCTCCCCCGTCTCCCCCGTCTCCCCCGTCTCCCCCGTCTCCCCCGTCTCCCCCGTCTCCCCCGTCTCCCCCATCTCCCCCATCTCCCCCATCTCCCCCATCTCCCCATCTCCCCCATCTCCCCCATCTCCCCCATCTCCCCCATCTCCCCCATCTCCCCCATCTCCCCCATCTCCCCCATCTCCCCATCTCCCCCATCTCCCCCGTCTCTCCCGTCTCTCCCGTCTCCCCCGTCTCCCCGTCTCCCCCGTCTCCCCCGTCTCCCCCGTCTCCCCCGTCTCCCCCGTCTCCCCCGTCTCCCCCGTCTCCCCCGTCTCCCCCGTCTCCCCCGTCTCCCCCGTCTCCCCCGTCTCCCCCGTCTCCCCCGTCTCCCCCGTCTCCCCCGTCTCCCCCGTCTCCCCCTCTCCCCCGTCTCCCCCGTCTCCCCCGTCTCCCCCCGTCTCCCCCGTCTCCCCCGTCTCCCCCGTCTCCCCCGTCTCCCCGTCTCCCCCGTCTCCCCCGTCTCCCCCGTCTCCCCGTCTCCCCCGTCTCCCCCGTCTCCCCCGTCTCCCCCGTCTCCCCCGTCTCCCCCGTCTCCCCCGTCTCCCCCGTCTCCCCCGTCTCCCCCGTCTCCCCCGTCTCCCCCGTCTCCCCCGTCTCCCCCGTCTCCCCCGTCTCCCC